GCCTTAAAAATAAAATGCAATGGCTTTGGTGTGAAGGGTGGCCTGTTCTTTCCTAAAAAGTAAACTATGATGTCCTCATTATGAAGGACAAAATGTCTTGAAAAGTAAAATGTAATAGTCTTACTATGAAGGGTGGCTTGCCTTAAAAAGTAAAATGTGAGAGTCTCATTATGAAGGACGGCTTGTCCCGAAATGTAAAATACAATAACCTCATTATGAAGGATGGCTTATCCTAGAAAGTAAAATATGATAGCCTCATTGTGTAGGATGGCTTGCCTTAAGTAGTAAAATGTGATAGTTTCAATATGTAGGGTGGCTAGCCACGAAAATTAAAATATGATAGGCTTACTATGTATGGTGGCTTACCTTAAAAAGTAAAATGTAGTAGTCTTATTATGTAGGGTTGCTTACCTTGGAAAGTACAACATGGTAGCCTCATTGTGTAAGGTGGCTTATCCCGAAAAGTAAAATGCGATAGCCTCATTGTGTAGGGTGGCTTTTCCTAAAAATTAATATACAATAGTATCATTGTGTATGGTGGTTTGTCTTGAAAAATAAAATGCGGGAGTCTCATGGTTAGGTTGGCTTGTCTTGAAAATTAAAATATGATAGTCGCATTGTGTAACATGATTTGCTTTGAAAAGTAAAATACGATAGCCTCATTGTGAAGGGTGGTTTGTCTTAGAAATTAAAATACGATGGTTACTAGAAAACTCTACCTAAAATGAAGAACCGAATAGGTAACTCTACCTAAAATGAGAAATAATCACTAGGCAACCTTGCCAAAAAGTTAAACTAAATTAGACAATCCTATCTAAAAATGAGAAATGATTGCTAGCCAACCTTTCCTAAAGTGATGAACTAAATTAGGAAACCTAGCCTAGAAATGATAGATGAATGGTAGGCAATCCGACTTAAAATGATAAATTAAATTAGACGACCATACTTGAAAATAAGAAATGATCACTAGGCGACCCTACCTAAAACGATGAATTAAATTAGGCAAGCTTGCTTGAAAATAAGAAGTGGTTGCTAAGCAACTCTACTTAAAATGGTGAATTAAATTAGTCAACCCTACTTGGAAATAAGAGATGACCCTTTAAGCAACCCTAGCCAAAATGAGGAACTAAATTAGTCAACTTTGCTTGGAAATGAAAGTTATTGTTAAGCAACCTTGCTTAAAACAATAAACCGAATTAGGCAACCATGCCTCAATATGAGAATTATTGGTAAGCAACCTTGCATAGAACAACAAACACGAGTAGGTAGCCTTACTTGAAATAAAATGTGATCATTAGGCAATATTATCTAGAATGAAGAACTAGGTTAGGTAGCCATGCCTAAAATAGAGAATTATCACTAGACAACTTTGACTAAAATGATGAACTAAGTTAGGTGACTCCGCTTGAAATGAGAATTATCGATAAACAATCTTACCTAAAATGACGAACTAAGCTAGGTGGACCTAAAATAAGAATTATCTCTAGACAACCTTACCTAAAATAATAAACTAAGTTAGGCAACCTTACCCAAAATAGAGAATTATCATTGGGTAACCTTACCTAAAATTATGAGCTAAGTTAGGCAACTCTATTGGAATACGAGAAATGATCATTAGGTAACCCTACCTAAAATGATAAACTAAATTTGACAAACTTGCCTAAAAATGAGAAGTGATCGCTAGGCAACCCTACCTAAAATGATGAACTAAACTTGGTAGCCTTGTATGAAATGATAAATGATTGTTAGGCACCTTTACCTAAAATGATGAACTAAATTGGCAATTCTACTTGAAATGATAGTCTATTGTAAAGTGACCTTGCTTGGAATGATGGTCTATTATGAGATGACTCTACTTAGATGATGGTCTATTATGAGACGATATTATCCGGATGATTATCTATTGTTAGGCAATCCTACTTGAATAATGATCTATTGTTAGGTAATCTTACCCGAATGATAGTCTATTGCTAGGAAACTTTGCTTGAGATAATAAACTATTATGAGGTAATCTTACCTAAAATGATGGCTTTTTATAAGATGACCCTATCCGAAATAATAGTCTAATGTGAGGTAACCCTACCTAAATGATAGTTTATTATGAGGCATTCCTACCTAAAATTATGATCTATTATGAAGTGATCCTACCTAAATAATGGTCTATTATGAGGCGAATTGACCTAAAATAAAGATTTATTATTAGGTGACTCTATTTGGATGGTGGTCTATTATAAAGTGGCTCTATCTCGAAATGATGGTCTATTGTGAGACAACCCTACTCGAATGATGATTTGAGGCATGTGATCCCCTTATGATTCAATGACTTTAGAATTTTTGCTTTAATGGTAGTTTCATCTTTTCATTTAAGATACGTTCTTGAAATATATCAACAAGACTCGATTATAATGGTTAGTTTCTTAGTTAGGAGAAACATAGATTGCCCCATCTTGTCGACACTTAACTCTTCCTTTGATGCTTCATTCTTGACCATCCGAACTTCTATACTCGAACCATATACTATAATACTATTGAAATTTCCTTGCCCCTATGCCTTGATCACTATTCTCTATAAACTAGGGTTTTCACTTTTTCCCAACCAATTGAGGTAGATTGGACCTTTTTTAATCTTTGAAGGTGATAACCATCAATTTATTGTGATCTACCCCTAGTTTGATCATTCTCAACTACTTTGATTTCTTTTCAAACTCGTTGTTAAGTCATTATCCTCTCCTAGGACTACTCTTTGCCCCTAGCTTGATGGATTTAGTTGATTTGATTAATGCTCAAAAGGTTACTATTTAGGCCTCTGTTCCTTTAGCTCGCATGATGATGCCATTATTTGATCAATTATTGAACTCAATTAGAGTTGTTATGTCTTTGGATTTGCCTCTAAGTGTTTTCAATTTTATTGATTCTTACTTAGATTGGATCATGACATGCCCCCAAATACTGGCTAAGATCATGCATTTGCCACTCTCTTAGGCACAATCACTACTTGTATTTAGATTTCATCTTTTTATATTTGTATCGTAATTTATAAATTGGTCTTAAAATTTTTGTCATATTTGAGAACGATAATTGAAGAAATTTGGTTTTCATAGATTAAGTAGTGAACTTGAATAATTCTCTTAAATATAATTTAGATCATTGAAAGAAATGTAGAGATATTCTAATAAAAGTACTTTCATTGATGAAGATGTTTAAGTGATCGATCAAGAGTCAAAATATGACATTCAAATGCTATGATACGATTTCTTCAAGAGGGTTATTAAGCTTAAGCAAGCAAAATGTGTTTGGATCATGCAAGTTTTACATATTAAAAACTTGTTTTTTGATGTCATAAGCTATTTAAAAAAAAGAATTTGATATGAAAGATTTTCAAAAAATAAAATTTTGTCTCAACCTACGGTTCGAACACTTGAAAAATGAAATTTTTATTCATTAGTCAACTATATATATATATATATATATATATATATATAAGTACTACTACGATTCTATATGGATAAGGCTCATCCATTAACTAGTCCAATGGTAGTTCGTTCACATGATGTCCAAAAAGATCCTTTTTGACCTCGAGAAAATAACTAAGAAATTCTTGGTCCCGAAGTACTATACCTTAGTATAATTAGTGCATTAATTTATCTTGCCAATAATACCCGACTCGATATAGTATTTTCTATAAATTTATTAGCAAGATATAGTTCGCTCCAACACGGAGATATTAAAATGAAATTAAACACATACTATGTTATCTTCGAGGAACAATTGATATGGGCTTATATGACTCTAATAAATCAAAAACAGGATTGATTGGATATATAGATGCGAGTTATTTATCCGATTCACACAAAGCTTGATCACAAACTGGTTATGTATTTACATATGAAGATATAGCTATAATGGCATTTTATGAAGCAAACTATAGCTACCACATCTTCAAACCATGCGGAAATACTAGCAATTCATGAGGCAAGTTAAGAATGTATTTGGTTAAGATCAATGATTCATCATATTCGAGAGACATACGATTTATCCAATAGTAAGGAAGTTCCAACAATATTATATGAAAATAATACCGCTTACATTGCTCAATTAAAAGAAGGATACATCAAAGTTCACATAACAAAATATATATTACCAAAATTATTTTTCACACATGATCTTCAACGGAATGATGATATTAATATTCAACAAATTCGATCAAGTAACGAATCAACGATTTGTTTACTAAGATATTACCTACCACAACTTTTGAGAAGATGATTCACAAGATAGGAATGCATCATCTTAGAGATCTTGAATAATGTTTTCAATAGAAGGAGATCAATATAGGGATTAATGTGTAGAATCCTACTCGGGTTTTTCTAGTAAGGTTTTAACAAGACATGTTTCTTATATAATAAACATTCAATGGGAAATGTTATGAAATAATGAATATCCATGTATTTTTTATATCCTCCCTACTCATAATTTTTAATATAATTCAATTCATCATTCAATATGAGAAATTGAAAACATGATGCAATTAATTCAATAATTTATGTACTTTTATTTATTCATAGTCTCTTTCAATTTTCTTCTTAATTTTGAAGCTTGTAAATAATTTTGATTATTCATTAGTTTATGTACAAGTTTTTTTAAGAGATTAAGAGAATAATTTAAACTTTTTATCACTTGTATTTACTTTATTTTATAATGAATTCATTTTCTTATCATCTTTCTCTTTAATTCTCCTATTGTTGTTATTTCTTTTATAATAAGAATTAATTGATAATTATAAATGTACAAAAACATACCATGTACCAAAAGACAAACGTAATTCTAGGAATAAATAAAATTGACGACCAGTGTCGCCGAACTAAATTCCTTTTTCTGTCCTACATGACTCTGCCGTCTTTGCAGATGTATATACCGTATGTTACGAGGCAATAGGAAAAAGAGTTCTTCACATTTGAGCAGTGATACAACAAAATAATGTGGAACCTACAAACGACAAGCTCATCATCAGGCAATCAGAAGGTCACAGCTGCAAAATCACCAGTAACTGCATCGGATGTTTTAGGAGATTCTATGATGGACTCAATAGTCATGATCTGGTCACCGTCGAAGAGCTCATTGCCGAGAATTGTGTCTATGAAGATCTTATCTTTCCTCGTCCCTGCGTTGGTCGCAAGGTACCAACTTACTAGTCTTCATTCTCTTGTTCTTAAAAGTATATATTCTTTCGAATATATATAACAGGAATTTAGCTAAATGTCCTTAATTCTGCAACTTGATCAGAATTACAAGGAGTGTTAAGAATTAGACTGATTCTTCCGTTGTGTAGGCAGTACTAGAGTTCTTCCAGCAATTCTTTGATTCTACCAGCACAGACCTTGATTTTGTCATCGATGATATATCCGGTGAGGATTCCCTAGCTGTTGGAGTTATATGGCATTTAGGTATGTTTCAATAAAATTCGTTCGTTTTGTCACCTCCTTTTAATTATTACTCATCTTCTCATCAGGATTGTATTTGTGATGAATCTTTTTATAATTTTAAAAAATAACTCAAAATTGTAATCATAACAGAATGGAAGGGCAAGGCAATGCCATGTAGCAAAGGTTGCAGCTTTTATCGGCTAGAGATTGTCAACAGCAAAAGACAATTAATGTAAGTGAAGCTCTTATGCTAGTTAAGGCTGTTGAGCCATCTTGCTTAAAAATTTCAAACTGCTGTTCATACCGAATATTTGGGTGTTAACTACACATTTTGATGATACAGAAAAGGATACTTGTTATCTTAGACAGATAAGAATTAATCTAAAATTAGTAGAAAAATGATCATGCTCATTGTTGGGACAATAATCTGCCTTCTGATAACAGTTACGGACGAGACAGCGTTGAGCCTGCCATCAAGCCAGGGAAGACGGCTTTGGTATGTAGATTAGCCTTCATTCTATCAGAAATGAGCACATTTTTCTTCCTTTATAAGATGCCTCCGTAACCATAATCAAATAGGAATGGAAGAAGTGGTATTACAACCTTTTACATCTCAAGCCAATACTTCTTACAATTGCTTAATTAATTAATGGGGTTGACTAATGTGCTGACATAATTTTTCTTGCTGTTTTTTCTAATGTGGCAACATTTTTATGTTCATAAAAATCAAATATTGAAATGCACAATTGAAAGTGGCTGAAGATGTTTTTTCCTCTTTTTCATAGTCGTGATCCTTTAATTCCTTTTGGGATGACAGGGATTTATCAAGGGTGTACTTTGGCTGCTGCACAAATTTCCTCAGCTGGCAAACCATTTCTGATGTACTTTTCTTTTCTGTTCCGTCGCAATTAATGTGATCTTTGCATTAACTATAACAATAGTTATATTCATGGGTTCACATGTGTAGAACAACTTCAAAACCAAGCTCTGATAAAGGGATATTTTTTACACAATAGTTATATATGTCCTCTTTATTTGTCTAGGTCTGGTGTTCTCAAAAGTAGTCAATAATGTGTCCATGGCCAGGTTTCAATATACAATTTGTATAGAACTATTGATTTTTTTTTCCCTAAAACCCAACCAACTTCACTACAATAAAATGGGCTATGGAGCATCTGACAATCATTAATCATTAATTATGCAAGTTTTAAATTCGCCAATGCCAACGTTTGTTTATTTGTTTTTATTTTAGTTCGAGCCAAGGGGTATTTTTGACACGATTGTTTAATGTATTTTTTTAAGATGGAAATCTGTTTAATGTTTTGCTGGATATTGGTAAATGATTTGAGTGGTGACCATAAACCTTCCTCTCTCCATTGTTCTAAGAGAGAGAGAGGTTTTTTTTATGTCTAACCTCTCTATATATGTATATATGTTACCCATTATTGATTTCTCATGATTTACTAATTAAATTTTGATTTTTTATTTATTTTGGTACTCGTTTTCACCTAAGATCTAATTTTGCTGAAATGTCTAAGAAGAACTATCTTGCGGCAATTGCAATTGATTTGTCAGGAAAAAATTGACTGATGAAGAATTACCAATTTAACGAATCGTTTAAATTAAAAAAATTAATTAAGTAAAAACATTAACAAAATGGTTTGTAAGTTAAAAGAATCATTTAACTTTTTTAAACAAAAAAAAGAAAGAAAAACCCATTCATATTGTATAAGAGAAATCGAATAAATAAAGAGAGAGTTTCCAATTTTAGGAGAGAGAGGAAGAAAAACCCTAATTTAGATTGAAAAATTCTACTTTTTTGGTGAGATTAGATAGATCAAAAGTTTTTTTTTAAAAAAAAAAAGGGTAGAAGACGAGAGAGAAAAAAGAAGAAAAATCGAGGAAGATTGAAAGTAAGAAAGTGTCGCAAATTGGAGAAAGGAGGTAAATTTTGTTAACAAAATGACTCTTTAACCTTGGTGATTTTTTAATTCGTTGTTTGATTCTTTTTATAATAATATTGGGTAACTGTGTTTAAAGGTTAGTGGTAGGGATATTTATATGTAGTGTGTTGTGTTTTCTCTGTAGGTGGTGAATTATTAATTGTTATTTTTGTGTGTTTGTGTTTCTCAGTTTCTTTCATCATGCTCTATTTCTACCTCTCGTGGTTCTTTTTTATTCAAATAATCTTCAAACTTGTCTCTTTATGATAAGTGGTCTTGCTTCTTACGTTGGTCCGTTCGTTATTTTTAGTAAAAATATGGGTTATGTTGAGCATCATTATAGCAATTGTTTATAATACCAACATAATATGAGTTATGTTGGGGGTAAAAAAAGTATTGAAATAAATGGATCCTAAAACAGCTTAGCTTAATTGATTTTACAAATGAATAGCCTAGTGAATTGGGGGATTTTGATGTTTTTAGGGTTTGGTCTAGAGTTCCTAGAATAAGATTGTCATAGGGATTGAAATTTTCTTTGAATGATGGATGCTCACTAACAATAGATAACATAATCAATCAAATACAAGACAATCAAATTCTTTGTTAAGCATTTAGTTTTTGTGGATTTGTTTGATGTTGATGGGAGTGAGACTCGTTAGCTATGTCCATATTGGTGTGAATATGTTTTGTCTTAATTAAAATGTGTATGATGCTAACAATTTAAATGATCATTCGACAATGTTGATGATGATGAAAATATTGATTTTGTTGAGTTTGATGTGTTAGAAAAATCAACTAAAAGAATAAAGTAGAAAGACGAGAATAATAACATAATATAGAGATTTACGTGGTTCAATAATTATGCTTACTCCATAATTATACTAGGATTTCTTATTATGTTTTATTAAGTGGCGGCTATAAATAAAAGTGATGTTGATTCTATTTATAGTATGGACAACTTAGGCTATAAGAAAAAAGGCCTTACATGCCTATACACCTAGCTTAACATTCTTTAGACTTGTCAAGGGATCCGCCTCCAAGCACCCACAAGGAGCATTGCCCTTTGATTCCCGCTTGCTAATCGATTAGCGAGACCACCATTTACATAATGTCTTATACTATGAGCTTAAATCATATGAATTATAGTTTTATCTCTTATCTTTAATTTACTCGCAAGAATTTCATGAATTAGATATTTGCACAATAAGTTAAGGTCAAAATACTCGGAGTATGTTTAAATAAAAAATTTTATTTTTTCTAAATTTATTTAGAAAAAGAGATCCAATTGCCAAAATCTTCTCCAAACTGCTTTGATTTTTTTTTTTTTTTATCAACCCTCTTTTCTTATTCTCTTCAATTCTACCTTGATTCCAATCAATTGGTTTTTTCTTCTAGTCTTTTTTTCCTCTCTTTTTCTAACTCTTTTTTTTTATTATTTTTTTCTTTCCTTTTTTCTTTGAGCAAAAATAGGGTGATGAAAAATATAATAATATCAATTCTTAAAAAGGTATATAAGTCAATTTATTAGAAAATTAAATTAAGAAAATAACAAAAAAATTGTATGTAAAAAATACAATCATCGGTGTAGAAGGATATGCGTTATTTGAATTTTATAATAAAAAAACTCTAGATTTCAAATTAGTTTCATATTTATATATTTTTTTCATATTTAAAATTTTAATATTTTTAAAATATTATATTTATGATACAAATTTTATTTTTAATTTTGGATTGAATTATTATATGATTTGATCAAAGAAGATTCGAATTTGATCCATTTAATATGTTTTAATGCATTCAGAACATTATTGAACTCGAATTAAAAAATTTATTTACTAGATTCATTTAACAACATTGGATTCTGGTCGAATTCATATAATAATTCAATCTATTTACACTCTTATTTGGCTTTATTAATCATCTAGTGGAAGTTTTTTAAGATTCTATAGTACTACGAAAACAATATTTACAACAATTAATTCAATTTTTTCAAATAAAAATTAAGTAAGAATATCATTAGATTCTAGACATTTAATTATAAGGTTTAGTCTCCTTATAGAAACTAAAATGATATTCTTACTTAATTTTTATTTGAAAATATAAAGTTAGTTTAGTCCCCTTATAATTAAAAATTTAATTTATAGAAACTAAAATGAATAAAAATTGAAGTTATTGGGGGACTAAACTAACTTTATTAATTTAGTTGTAGTTTAACCAAAATAGTTAATTAATCCTTTGAAGTTCAGAAACTATATATTTAATGCTTATATTTTTCAATCCATTCGTAACAAATATAATCCCTTCATCAATTCCCATATTCTTTTCCATTCTGTTTTGTTTTCATTTTTTGAGAAATAGAAAAAAAAAGTGTAGGGGGAAGATGGAAAATCAAATAGAAAGGAAGAAAGTTTTGGAAAAGGGGTTACTAAATAAAATATGGTTAGTACTCATCAAAGGACTATTTACTTAATTCCAATACTATAAGGATTAATAAATTAATTTCAGTATACGCAGGGACAAGTTATATTGAACTCGCACAAATTCTGCCAATTATGCCCACCTCACTCTTTAAAAAATAAATAAATAAATAAATAAAAATAAAAATAAAAATTCACAATATGGAATATCGCAATTTATCCCGTGTTTGTGTAAATTTAGAAAATAAACACCCAAAAAAAATAAATCAAATTTGTCCCTATATTTTGTCATATTTCGTTAATTCAACGCAATTGTACTGATCTGTAAGCAATATAGCCTCCCCTATAGGGTAAACTCGTAACAATATGCTGATAACATAATCCAATTGGCTTGAGTTGACCAAGTTTAATGAATATTGGATTAAATTGACAAAGTATTGTTTAAATGGATTGATTTTCAAAATTGACATAAACATAAGGGCCAAATTCTGGGGTTTGTCCAAATTAACACTCCCAAAACTCTTCACCCGCTTCGCATTAATTTGGGCACAAGGTCAAGAAGCAGCTAGAGCACGAGGTTTTGGCCCGTCATCAGCAACCATGCTGATCACCTCCATCCCATCATCTCTCCTCTCTTCAAATCCTCTCACGCTCCACTTCAGCAAAACTCCCACTTCTACTCCTCCGCTAACCATTCCACATGCCAGTAACATCTTCACTACTACATGGACAAGAAGCATCACATGGACCCCACAAACCCTGACTAAAGTTTCATCATCAAATCATCAGACGGTCACCGTTGCAACATCATCACCAACAAGTACTGAAGATGTTTCCGCCTTGAAATCTGCACCAGATGTGGTTAAGGGCTTTTATGAAGGAATCAACGGCCATGATTTGGCCTCCGTTGAGGAGCTCATTGCTGAGAATTGCGTCTACGAGGACCTTATCTTTCCTCGTCCATTCGTTGGTCGTCAGGTACGCAAATAGACCTGTAATCTTCTGTCTCTTTCTGGCACGCGTAACTCACGTGCTCATGCTTTGGTTTTAATTCATTCCAATTCAAATGTAAATAATGATAAATTGATAATGATTTTTTTTCTTTGAAATTAATTTTACTGCACCTTAAGAAAGTTATGTGCTATTGCATTCGTGGGAAATTATTTTTCGTAATTTCGAAATTTCCTGATTAGCAAATAACAAACCCAAGTTCACGTAATCATAGAATAAATTATAAATTAGTCTCTTTATTTTTAAGAAACAAATTAATTAGTTCAATTAGTTTTAGAAATTAATTATTTAGTATTTTAATTAGTATTATCTGAATTTAATATTATTTGATTTAATAAATTATTATCTTTTCTCATTATTCTTTCTATGTTTTTTATTTTTTTATCTCCTAAAAAAAAATTTAAGTTACCAGAAATTTTAAAAAAAATACAGACTAATTAATTCATTTTTCAAAACTCAAGGGACTAATTTATAATTTACTCCGTAATAATATAGTGTTGATGACGGGTAAAAAAAAAAAAAAAACCAGGCTGAGATCAACGTCCTTGTGCAGGCCATACTGGAGTTCTTCAACAAGTTCATTGATACTATAAACACTGAACTCCAGTTTGTAATTGATGATATATCTAGTGAGGATTCCTATGCGGTTGGAGTTACATGGCATTTGGGTATGTTTGAACAACACCACTCTTTTATCTCATATTCGTAATCAACTTCTTCAAAGTGTCTTTGGTAATGCATTTGCAAGTGCTTTTGTAAAATGGTTTTTCAATGATGTGCATTCGCATGGTTTTGTTACGAAGATGTCAAAACCACGGGGGAAAAAAACGCTAATTGGATTTATTTTATCTTTCATCAATTTTTTGCTGTGATTATTAATTCCTGCTGACGATTTTATATAATTGTGATAAGGTTGTTGTGATTTTTCTAGACAATTTATAATGCTAGTTGTAACAGAATGGAAGGGTAAAGTTTTCCCATTTAGCAAAGGGTGCAGCTTTTATCGGCTAGAGGTTGTGAATGGCAAGAGGCAAATAACGTAAGTGAAGCTTTATCGTTATAAAGTTTGGAACTGATACTGGCTCAATTACTTAGATTATTGCTATTTTAATTCTTTTGTATTGAATGAGATGCATGCTTTTCCCAATCTGATTTTGCACGGAAGCTGCTGTTTCTTAAACTTACAAACTGTCTACTTCAAGCTCTTCAATACTGTCAATCATTGCCCCTGATATTTCGACATTGTTTTTTCAAATTTTGAATCAACATATTTTACAGTTTTCAGCAATAGATAGAATTTGAATGCATTCCTGCTTTAAAAGTTAAAATGCTGTTTAATCCTCCAGCCTTTTTCCTCTCTGGACTATTGCTGATATATAACACTGGCAAGCCGCTTGTACTTTTTGAGGCTGTCTTACTACCAACAATATTCAATCTTAAGAAATATTTGGATCATATGCTGGAGAACTATCGCATTTCATTTGGAAAGTGATATTTATTTCACAAAAAAGAGGAATCTGTAAATCTTGTTTGAAAAGAAATGTTTTCATGGGGGAAACTCATTCATCTTCTGAAACAGTTACGGACGAGACAGTGTTGAGCCAGCAGTCAAGCCTGGAGAGGCAGCTTTGGTATGTATGTTAGGCTTTCATCCATAATCAAATTTAAACGGCGTGAGAACGAGAAAAAGGATAGGCCTATTAGTTTTTGTGAACCATGTCATGAAGCTAACAACTTAATATTGATTAAACTACTCTATTGAGAGGCACTTTAATACTCACACACACTGCTTTTGTGCAACCTTCATTAATCTTTCTACCTTGAGAATCTGCCCTTTCTCTAGTAGGAAAAGATTACCTTGACAAAGATTCTGCCCACGCAATCCTGTGGTCCTTAGAGTTAATTCGCAAATCCCAAAAGCCTCAACCACCTCTCACTATTCCTAACTACTTTTGTTTTCTCAAATTTTGTCCTCGAGTTGGAAAATAATGTGCATTTGACTTAAGTTTGAGCTTGCACCATAGAAGGCACGAGGATGAGGTATTAAGCCTTTGCTTGAGCCAAACCTCTGGTTTATTCGTTTTTTCATGGTTGTGATGTTTATTTTCTTATCGAGAATACAGGTCGCTATCAGGGGGGTAACCTGGCTGCTGCAGCAATTTCCTCAATTGGCTGACCGGCTGTGATAAGTGCCTGTGTATATATGAAAGATATCAGCCTCTCAAATCATACGGTCATCTTCTTTTCACAGTTCTGAAAGACGAAAGCAAGTCATTGTGATTTTATTTGCCAAATGTATATTCAGCTTGGTGATTATTCCATATGTATATTCTACAGACAGTGGAACCAAAAAGTAAAATTCAATCCAGTAAATATTCTCAGAAACACATTTCCAGTGATTCCTTAATGTACCTCGAGTCCTTGAGAGACCAATGGTTCAATTATAATAATAATAATAATATTGGTAGTAGATTAATTATATAGCTGTTGATGGTATGGAGAATTGCAATTTTTAAAAAAAATATATATATATATATTAGGTGACAAGCTGTGTCTTTGTTTATTTTATTTTTTATTTTTCCCCTTCCTTGCAGAGTTTTTAGTTTGTTGACTGCTACATCTGTCAACTGGTCTAAATGGTTGAAACTTTTTCGAAGTTTATATGACAAAAGCACATACGATAAGAAAACCCAATTCTGCAAGATACATCCAAATGCCTAGAAGCAAGCAACCATAAGCACCAGGCTGAATCAAAACAACCTCCTCCTCAAGACGATCGACTGCTATTGACATGACTCCATTAAAATGCCATATAAAATAAATTTAATGCATAAAAAGTTGCGTATGACTAACGATTAAGGTATAGCTTTGTTCTTCACTACAGCTTGCAGCTCGCACACAAATATCTCCATGGACAAAGCATAGTCTCTGTTGATTACTTTTAGGAACTGAAACAAGAAACAAGGGATAATAATAATAAAAAAAATAAATAACTCATAGGATAAATAATAAATTTATCCACGAATAGGTCTTTATTGATCAAATCTACCAGTATCCTTTTGCGATGATTTTGCAGCATTTTAACCCTCACACAAAGAAGAATATATATATATATATATATATATATATATATATCAACTCACATACCAAGACTCCTAACAAACCCTTGACCTCCTGTATATATTCAAGAGACCACTACGAATGAGAAGCTCGTTGTTTTCTTTTCTTCCTCTAAATGATAAATGTGAATTTATATTGAATCATGTCTTTATGAAGTTATTGACGTCAATAAACTGTTAGAAAAAGTGAATCTTTCTAATCTTTATCCTTCGCTGTAAGAAATGAGGAAACTTTATTGTATATGAAGTAAGAAAGTGATTCTTTCTAATCTTTATCCTTCCCTGTAAGAAATGAGGAAACTTTATTGTATATGAAGTAAGAAAGTGATTCTTTCTAATCTTTATCCTTCCCTGTAAGAAATGCTGTAGTCCCACATAGATTCAATGTGCTTAACAAGCTGCATTGAGCGCTCTCTCCAAGTAAATATCAGAATGATAACACAATTCAAGGCTCCAGAGCAATTAGCTAAGATCAACTTCTAAACGATATTTCACATATTGCAGCATTCTATTTCCTCTGATACTTCTTCAGAACTTAAATTTTCTCCTGCAACATAACCAGCATCTTTCATTAGGTCACTCAATCCCTCCAACAGTACGTAAAGCTCGTTTGAGTTGAGTTTGGATGTGTCACCAACCACAAAGGGGGAAAATCCAGAGCCAACATCAACCCAGGCACATCCAGGGGCTTTCTTCACACCTAAATCCCTCATAGAAGTCCTCACTTCTGCCAGCTTGCTCCAGCGACCAGCAGCAGCATACATATTAGCAATCAAAACATAGTAACCTGGATTTTCTGGCTTCATTTCCAACAATTTCTCAGCTGCCCATTCTCCTATCTCTGTATTTCCATGGATCCGGCAGGCTCCTATAAGAGTGGCCCACATAGCAGTGGTTGGCCTGCAAGGCATACTCATAATTACTTCCTTTGCTTTACGTAACAGTCCAGCTCTCCCAAAGAGATCAACCATGCAAGAAAAGTGCTCCACACCAGGAACTATACCATAGACAGTAATCATCTTTTTAAACAAGAAGTTTCCTTCAGCTACTAGACCAGAATGGCTACAAGCTGATAGAACTGCCACCATGGTAACCTGGTCTGGTTTAATCTGATGTTTGATCATTTCATCAAACAATATTAGTGCAGTCTTCCCCTCTCCCTGTATACCATACCCAGAAATCAAGGAAGTATAAGTAACTTCATCCCTCCTTCTCAGTGAATCAAACACTCTTTTCGCTGCTAAAACCTTTCCAGATCTTGCATACATCTCAACAAGGGAATTCCAAATCAATAAATAGTCCTCAAACCCTTCTCGTCTCATAATGTAACAATGGAACTCCTTCCCATGTTGTAGATTTGCAACTCGGGCACAAAGGGGAAGAATGCTTGCAATAGTCACATAATTTGGTTCAATCCCAGAAAATAGCATCTCCTTGAACAGGAAGGAGGCTTCCTCAGATCGTTCCACATGAGTATAACCAGAAAGCATGGAGTTCCAAGTAATTATACTCTTAGCTTCCGTTGATTGAAATAAAATGTCAGCATGCCTGAGGTCTTTACACCGCGAATACATAGTTATAAGTGCATTTCTTACATTATCAAATCCATCAAAACAACTACGAATTGCAGAAGCATGAACCTCTGTTCCTAGCCTAATGGCCCCAACGTGCGAACATGCACCCAACCCAATAATCATTGCCACTGGATCCAAAGAAATGCCACAACTTCTCATCTGAGAAAGCAACGCAAGTGCCCTTTTAAAATTTCCTGTCCGCACACACCCTCCAGCTATGGTGTTCCAAGTAATAATATTCACTTCTGCACCTGCTACTCTCATTTCTTCAAACAGTACAAATGCTTCCTTCCACATGCCCTTGGAGGCATAACAACTGATTATTCCGTTCCAAGAAACAGCATCCCTTTCTGGCATTTGATCAAATAAGCAACGAGCAGTATCCAATTCTCCTAATTTTCCATACATGGAAACCAAAGAATTATGCACGTACAAGTTCCAAATGTGCCTGCTGGCAGCAGTAATAGACTTATGTACCTCCCTCCCAAAGGCCACATCTAATTTTTCACCACAAGCCTTAAGGACGGATGGATAAGTGAAGTTATCAGGTCTAATCCCTCTATGTACCATTTCCTTATATGCAGAAAGAGCCTCTCCATGTAACCCGTTGTTGATGTAAGAGGAGATAAGCAAGTTCCAAGGCAAAGGGTTCAAAATATTTGAATTAACAGTGACAACATGGGCATCACCGAGGAGACTGAAGCTTGAATAAAATGTGACAAGCTTGGAAACCACAGTGAGATGATTTTCAAGTCCCAAAGAGATAATTTGGGCATGTAGTTGTTTACCCTGTGGGAGTGATTTAAAGTTGGCACAGGAGGAAAGTAGAGAAGAAACCGAATGTAAGATAGCATCATAATTAGTTGAAGAGGAATGGAGCTTGATCAGAGAAAAGGTTTCAAATGCTTCTAATAAATGTCCCTGCCTTGAAAGGTCTTTAAGAGAATTAAAAAGGTTATCTATCATAGAAACATTGTTAGATGCATCCGTTCCTACAAGAGGGTGACTTGTTTGAACATCTACTGCTCTGGCACATTGTTTCCATTGTTTAGGTATGCATTTTTGTATTTGATTTACAGAAAGTCCTCGTAGCACAAAACGCAAAGAAGAAGGCATGCACCATAAACATTAGCGTAGAATTCAATAACATGGTAAGTCCAAGCTGACCACATAACTTTGCCCGCATTTACAACAAGTGGCATGGAAAGAAAGAAAATAGCTAATGGGTGACTCAATTTTTGCTTCTCAAGGTTGAGGAAAAGTCGAATAGATTACCCCAACTGAAGCAGCCTACCGCAATTTTAGCACTGCCCTGCAAAAATTGAAAGTAATGCAAGTGAAGAATTGATTACGCTTCCACAAAGAAAAAAAGTTATGAACATATATATATATAGACACACAGACACACAGACACATCAAATGATAAAATACAAATAAATTGGCATAACTAGGTTCAATTTTAATAAACAGGAAATAACACCACATAACCACAACTTAACACATCTCCAAATTCACACCAATTTTCTTGATTTTTAATCACCATAAGAATAAATGAGGAATTCGTGAAAATGAGAAAAAAAAGGCAAGTTCTCAAATATTGCGTTTTTTTTTTTCAACCACATTCAATGCAGCTTCCCCATTGAGTTTTATATCCTAAAACAAAAATACTTATTCAAAACATTAAACACAAAAAAAATTTAACAATAGGATGCTCTAACTCATAAAATTGCCATTATCCTTTTATCACCAACAAAAATCATTGATTTTTCACTGGTTTAATTTCCATATAAAAGAAAACCAAAATCCCAAAAATCGCAAACCCAATTTGAAATGCTAAAAAAACAACTTCAAGCAAAAATGAAAGCTGAAACCAATTTGGAAAGATAGAGAACTTTACCAGTTGAAATCGTTATTGGGTTTGACGGCTGCTCAGTTATCATATAGCTTAGGATTGGCAAGGAGAATGTTCTCCACGCTCAAGAAGAGATGATGAGAAGAAGAGGACGTGAAAGTAAAACCCCGCTGCCTGTGAGGGTTCAGGGTTTTGTCCAATCCGTTGCGTTTGCCGGTTTCATAAATATATGAAAAAACAATGGCCGAAAACGCGATTCTTCCATCTTAGGAAAAAAAAACGTTATATATGCGAAACGAAACTACTATTGGTGTGCTTTCAATTTACTCTCAAACTATTTTGAGTTTTCAATTAAGTATTTATGTTAGAATTACTTAATAGAAAACATTAAGCTCTTCATGAAATGACATAATTTGATTTAGATAAAATTATAAATGAAAAATCATAAAAAAAATATTCAAACCACAAAAAAGTGCTCATAATATTTTTTATATAAGTTAATTTTTTTAAAATTTTTTTAATTTTTTTTAATTTTTTTTTGTCCATCTGTCACGTGAAAGTAAGCATTAATATCAATTACTATGAGATTAAAATAGTATTTATCTTAAAAAAATGCTGAGGGGCAAAATTGAGACTAATTATATAGTTGGGGGGTCATTAATTATAAAACAATTGGTCAACTCAGACCATGAGCCCATTGACGTGATACGCACGATAAATTGATAGGGCATTTGACGGCTGCCGATATGGAAGAGGTAGACACCGACGTGTGCCTACCACGAGAGCGAGACGCTGAACTCGCAAGCGTGGGCGTCTCCGCCTCCATTTTCCTTTCTCTCCCTCTAAAACATAAAAATACAAATTTTCTTCTTCTTCTTCTTCTTTTTTTTTTTTGCATAGTAATTTATAAATACAGTAAAGCATTTCTTTGACGGATTTTGTTTCTATTTTGTTAAGGCAAGCAAGAAAGCTCTAAATTTCTCCACCTTCCATTTCCTTTCCTTTACGGGCCCTCATTTTGCATTGCGCCCGCTCTTGCAAATCCCTTCTAAAACGCTGCCGTTTTTATCTGCTTTACCAAAGCCAATCAGCTTTAGAGCTTTCTTTCCTCTGTAAACAATTCCATTGTGTTTCCTTGCTTGCATGATCGCTTTCAGAGAAATGTCGGCGATTTCCAATTTCACCGCGTGCGGTGTCCTCCTTGAAACTGCCGTTAATTGCGCAGACAGGAGGAACTTCAATGTCGATTCAAATTGGAGAGCTGCCTACCGAACGAGCATTTCAATGCCGATTCAGGTAACCATGTGATTTCAATTTTTTTTTAGTGTGCTATTGGATAATGTTGTGATTTCATTTTTGTAGAAAAAAGAATTTCGGATAGGTATTATTGGTAATTCAAGGAAAGGGAATAGAGAAGAGAGGAGTAGCATACGGATGGCATTGGTAGATGAGAGGGTCGTTTATGGCAGAGAAACGGCAGAGCGACCTGGCGTCTTGGTGAATGGAGTTTTTTTTTTTTAATAAGATTGAACAATTTTTAACAAAGGAAAGAAAAAAAAGATAGAAAATCCTTTTCAGTTGAGTGATGTTATTTTTGTTTTGTTTTGCAGGCTTATGATCTTGTTCAAGGGCCACTTGTAAGTTGTCAGTTATTCACTAATTTACTATGGTTTTAGTTATCTACATAATCTTTGGTGACCTAATGGTTCCTTTAATGGCAATGAATTTTTCGTTGAGACGTGCAATTGTATCTGCATTTTTATGTCTTGTATCAATTCAATGGTGAAAATGAAATTTTGGACTTAAAAATTTGAAAGTTGGCCTATGTCCAAAAGGTTATAGGTGGTGAGAGGAAGATTACATATTAGGTTTTATTTGTTGATCTACTACTGAGCATGCTTGACATTTTTTGAAGTTCTTTTCATATGATATTTTGAGGTTAAAGTAGAGTTGAGCGGAGTGGAATGTATACAGTTTTTCACGGGCAGAATTGTTTATGCAAAATGATTTGGTGCATAGGTAAAATGGAGTTCTGTAATGGACAAATCAATACGGGATCCACCAACAGCTGTGCTTCTGCATGGCATTTTAGGCAGCAGGAAGAACTGGGGTAAGTACTTGCTAGTAGTTTCAATTCATTTATGGTTTTTAATGTTTGTCTTGATTTTACTTAATAGCAAATATAATTTTCAAAACAGATATATACTTGTACCATGTTGATGTTTAACCATAGACCCTTGGCTTGGGACACGGTTTCTCCTACAAGGAGTAGATGTTCACACTCAAGACTATCTAATGAAGATAAGATCCGGGAGGGAGGCTAACTTAGATTCTCAAACTAAACACCATTTAAAAATCCTAGAAAACCTTGGACTTAACCAATTATGAAAGACAAAACACTAAACTGCAAAGAACCAAAGGGATCATTAATTTATTGTTGTTCTCCTTTCTGTAATTATTTTTATTTCCTCTCAAAGTATATTTCCAACCATGATGTGTTGAAGTTGTATTGTGAGCCTTGATACCCTAAGAAGAATGGCTAAACAATCCAGTGTGTTTAAGCCTTCAAATTTAGGATAAATCCTACACAATGAATCCACAGTTTCTATAAAATTATGATATGTAAAGTGTTCCTTTTCTAATTATTTGGTTTTCTAAATGCCATTGGTTCAGTGAAGTGGTCTCATTATCTTCTGCTGCCGAATTTCATGTATTAATTTCTATGATCTTTCTATCAATAGTTGTAGGTTTGCATTTACACACACATTAATAGGTGCATTTTGAAATATAATTTATAGATTTAAAATATCACAGGAACTTTTACTCGGAGATTGGCTCAAGAATTTCCAACATGGCAGGTACTGTTAAAGACTATTTTTCTTTTTGTTTTCTTTATCTTTTACATTCTCTACAACCCCGGAAAAAATGTGCTAGGTCAGTCTAGCATGGTTCCATAATTCCCTGTGCTACTTGCATGACTGAGGATTATTAAAGCAAGACAAAACAACCAATACCCAGTTATGATCCAACTGTAGTGGGTTATTGGAGGGAGGACCTGTAGAATGTCTTGAACTTCAATGTTTTTGCTTGAATTACATTACTCGGGGTTTAAAGTGATTAAATGAGTTGGCCAAGTAATTTTGGTTTTGACATGGATTTGAGGGTGATAAGAATCTTACTTATTGTTCACAAATTATGCTGATGCAGTTTCTTTTGGTGGACCTGCGGTGCCATGGAGATTCAGCATCAATCAAAAAGAGGGGACCCCACAATGTTGCCTCAACTGCTTCTGATGTCTTAAAGCTAGTGAGTGACTTTTGAGCTTTGACTCTCGATTCATGCATAATTTGTTCTTTCTGTTATTTTTCATTTGATAAAATGGAGATCTGACAGCGTCAAGAGTCAAGATGGTGGTTCTGTGTGCGTGGCTGATGCATCTGGTTATGCTTCTTAAAATTGTTATTAACTTTTCTCTTGTTGATGCCTCCTTCCTAACAACAATAGCCGCGACCCCCCACAACAAAAAAAGGGAAAAAGAAAAAAGAAAATAGTCATCTATTAAGGCTTGAGAATTTTTAATTTTTTATGTCTAATTAAATCCTTTGTTTGAATAGGTTGCACAGCTTAGGATAACCCCCGCATTCTAATTGGACACAGTTTTGGAGGAAAAGGTACATATAGTTGCCTTGACATGCAATTTACCAAAAACCAGAGAATGCATATGATATTTTAACGTATATTTCAACTGACTACAATGCATCATTTTTCTCCCTATTTATCCATGTAGTTGTCTTGAGTATGGTGGAGCAAGCTGCAAAACCTCTTGCACGACCTGTAAGAGTAAGTTGATTATCTGCAAATATTCTTTAGATGGTTTTAGAACATACGATTTAGGTTATAATGGCAGTTTACAGATGTTAGTCTAAGTTTTGTTGCAAGCAGTCAATTTTCTCTTTGTATATTATTAGGATTCATACTTTAAAGTTTCTGCATTTGATCATTGTCTTTTCATTTTGAATTCTTATAGTTTTTGCACCACTTCAGGTTTGGGTTCTAGATGCTACTCCTGGAAAAGTTAGAGCTGGTGGAGATGGAGAAGACCATCCTGCAGAACTAATATCCTTTCTAAGGAAACTACCAAAGGAGGTATGTTTCATAAGTTATAACACCCTTGTTTGGATGTATTGTATACCTTTTTAATGTGTCAGTGATGCTGTTTTTATCTTGGTGGGCTACTGAATTTTGATTGAACACAGAGATGCTCTTCTATCAATGTCAGGTTCTGTAATTCAGCATCCAAGCATTATTCATCATCCTTATCTTGCCTATCATTGCCTTGAGTGGTTATATCTCCTTCTCCCCACACCCCACACACACCACCACCACCACACACACACACCCCCACCCCCCACCCCCTCCCCCTCCCCCTCCTCCTCCTCCTCCTCCTCCTCCTCCTCCTCTCTCTTATCTGTTTTTGACATTTAGTTTTCACTTGTACCTGTGACTATCACCAAATATACAGTATTTGGGTCTTTGTTTGTTTGGATCTCAGTTTCCTTTTTCCTTTTCTCTTTTTGGATATTATTTTGAGTATCTTATAATCTTTCTTTAAGGAAGGTCTCCTCAAAGCGAGAGATTGTAAATGCTCTTATAAAAGAAAGGTTTTCAAAGGATGTTGCACAGGTATATTTCACATTCTAATGCTTATTCATGTACTCCTATTGTTCTTCAGCTTTTGCATGAAAAAAGCTGCTGTTGTTGTGATCTATTTTAGAATCTTCATGTGCATCAGTTATATCAAGTGAAGGTTGCAGTTTGAGCTAATTTTGCATGTAGAGATGTTAAGGGTTCTTCATCTTTTTCTAGTTTATTTCTGCTCATAGCTTGATCCCTTCACTGTTAATTATATGGTCAGACTTCAGAGACCTTTCAAGAAGGATACAATGGCAAACAAAATTTTGTTGTGGACTTAGACATGATTTTGGGGAAAGATAATTAGAAAGAGCAAGAGAGAGTAGTATATGTGCAGCATGACATAGGACACATGGTGCAGATCTGATTCAGATTGGAAAAGACTGGGTTTTGATTTTTTATTTGCTTGAAGTAGGATTTGGGCTTCAAATTCAATATGAACTGGAGGAGAGAGGGATAACCCACCCAGAAAATAGCATCTGGGGTTCCCAGCAACCTTATGATGGCAAAAAGCAAACTAGCTGCTAGAGATCTATATATTGCTTACTTCATGTTTGGTGCAACTTTAGGATTGTAAACTGAGACTGCTGTGTAATTAAGCTATAAATTTTATTTAGTTTGTTTCCTGTGCTTCTATTATATTTTTATGTGAAGATGCTAATTAGTGATCCCCTCAGTTCTTGACATTAATTGTCTTTCTGCCTTTTATGCCCAGTGGGTGGTAACTAATCTTCAAACAAATGGCCCTCCTGGTTCGCCATCATCACATTTCTCTTGGATATTTGACCTTGATGGAATTTCTGAAATGTACCAATCCTATGAAGAAACAAATTTGTGGTAATCTTGAAATATGGTTAATGCGAGTTAAAATCAGTGCCTTACTTTAGTTTGATGGGAGCCTTGCTTCCCATGCTCAAGTTTAAATCTGTGTTATTGGGTGTAGGAAATTTGTTGAAAATTTGCCTCGAGGTGTGCATGTTAATTTTTTGAAAGCAGAGAGGAGCTTGCACAGGTGGGCCCTTGAAGATCTCCAGAGAATTCATGCTGCAGAGGATCTGGCTGCTGAGGAGGGAGGTGGAGTTGAAATGCATGTCCTTGAAGATGCTGGCCACTGGGTATGTTTCTTTTGCATGCTTTAACATCTCATGTTTTGCCAAGACACCTGTGATTCTTTTTGAAATTATACTCCTCTCTGTCGTACTTTGTCCGTCTATGTTTCCTTTAAAGGATTTCCTGCTATCTGTCCACTTTCTAAATAAAGAGATTGAAAAAACTATGCCTTTTAAATCTTATCCACAATCATTTGATAAAATACAACCTTATTTCAAAATATATAGACTTGTATTGTTTGACAGGGATATTTTTTAGATTATACACAGAGGACAAAGCAGTAAATGATGTTTTATAAAAAGTTGGAAATTCAATGGTGGACAAACAAAATGGGAGGGAGGGAGTATTTGTTATTGTTGATGTTTTCATCCGTGAGTAAAAAATAAATAGGAAAACCCCATTTTGAGACCTTTTGTTTGTATTAAATCAGCAAATTAAACCCTGTGTAGATAATTTGGCAAATTCAACCTTATAATCATTGTATTTAGGCAATTCGATCCAACTGTCATCAATTCTTAACAAACATCCAAAAACTTGCTCATGTAGAACATATTAGCCACATGACACAATTTTAACTAAAATAGCCTACCCTAATTTAAAATAAATAAATAAATCATTGTCAATTATTTTGATTTTTTTAAAAATGAATGGATCCGTGACTCTCTCTCACAACCTTACACCTCATATTGCATATTTTAAGAAAATAGAAAGTGACGAAACCTAATTTTAAATTGGGCTCCTCATTTAATAAATCTATTCTGCTATATAAACCTAGTTTTTGAACATTTGGTAAGAATTGAGGGCATTTAGATCGAATTACCAAAATGTAACTAACATAGGGTCCAACTTGCCAAATTATTTATATAAGATTTAATTTGCTAATTTGATACAAATGCAGGGTTTCAAAATAGAGTCTTTCCAAATAAAATATTAGTATCCATACTGTATCGGAAGCACTACTCTTACTAATCAATGATATATATATATATTGTTGTTTGGTTTTCAATGGGGCACCTTTCTAATGAAATAGCATTCACAATGTGTTTGCTGTTTTTTTTTCCGTAAAGGTATCTCTTTTACATGTTAAATGGTCAGACAACTTGGCAAATGGTGATGCTTGACAGCAAAATAGTTAGTGAAAGTGGTCCTGACAAATTTTTGTGTTGATAGCAGATGTTATATTTACATGTTTCAAATAACCAATTTTGGTATACAACAAATAAAATATAAAGAATAAAGGAACATTATTTTGTTCACTCTGATCTTCATAGGATACATTCCTTTATGCGCTGTTTATAAGTGTTCATTGAGGATCAGTGAACTTCTCGTGTTGGAATTTAGGGAAGATTGGTCCATTTCAAAGTTATAAAATTTAGGTTTCAAATGAATTAAATGTTTTGGATTTTACAGATTTCTTTTATATCTTAGATCCTTTGCTGTTATGTTGGTTAAATGTGCAAGTTGTAGAAGACACATTGAGCGTCCAAACCAGAAGACCTTGCTTTGCAAAACAAAACTAGTTGAATATGTTGCCATTGTGTCATTTTTTTCAATGTTGTCAGAAACTAGTCCTATGTTGATTGTTAGAAAATTCCCCAAGTTTTTAATGTTAATGCCCTGGCGAAGATATCGAGGCTTGAGTGAGGTTGCATTTCAAATGCTTTGTTATTAATTCCTTTATAGGGCAGCTAATATTATTGCAACTTTTTGACAGGTACATGCTGATAACCCGGATGGACTCTTCAGGATTCTTGCGTCATCATTCCGGGGATTCAAAGCCTAAATGGTGGTCAAACATGGTTTTGCATACGTGTAGAGATAATGGGCAGAAGTTACATGAAAGTATTTCTAGCCCCATGCTACGTCTACCACAAAATTGAGATTATTCCAAATATTTTGGACCATAGTAGTAGTGTCATAATCTTTAGAGCTCAGAAACTTTCTGTATGCAAATCTTGTATGTAATGTCATGGTAAGTTTTGAGCGAAATTGAGATTGAGATATGGTCTTGCTAGCATTCGATTATGTGAATTTGCAGGGAAAGGTAATTTGAGATATCCTTTGCAGGGTAGTGATTATTATTGCCACAAGACAGAATTTGTCTAACCTACGTCTCAAGTGTGTTCCCACGCAATACTTCATTTATTAAAGGAATCTGGGTCTCTGTATATCCTGAAACACTGACACCATACGGGTGAGATAAACAAACATGGCTGTGTTTGTGTTGCTTGATTACCTTTGTTCACCTCATTTTAAACTTTAGTCAATTCAATGATTTTTAGCTTTAGAAAACATTCAATCCATAAACTGAAAACTATAATTTTTTTTTTTTACATTAAAAATATAAAAAATTAGAAAAAAATAAAAAATAACTTTGAAATTATTCCAAATTTTGTGAGGAGTTCCACATAAATTTTATTGAATGATTTTTATTTTGAAATTATTTATGTAATTCTTTTTTTTTTAATGAATGATAGAAAATTGAAGGATGGATTATATTTGGAAAAAATTAAAAGTTCAAGGATTCTCAAACCAATAAAAAAAATATTTAAGGATTCAATTTCAAATGACTTAAAGTTTTGAGGTTGTTAGACTTTATTAACCAGTCAATTATGATAAATGTTTTATATTTATATTTTGATAGCGAATTGAATATACTTTCCATCCAATATTTGAGTAAATTATGATAACCACTTTATATTTATAATTTGAATTCAATATTTGGGTATATTACAATAAAAATTTTATATTTATATTTTGACAGCGGGAATACTTTGCATCCAATGAATTTATTAGCATTCATTTTTCCGATTGTAAATAATGAAATAACTAGTATACCTCTAGAGCTAAATTACTATAATCACTTTATGTTTTGATGGCTAGAATACTTTTGAATATTATATTTTACACTTTGAAGTTTTGGCATTTGTTTTTTCTGTTGTTAAACATTAAAATGATTAAGATACCTCTATATATAGTATTCCACTTTCAATGTTAGTTTATCATTCTACACATTGTTTTCACCTAATTCTCTCTTTTCAACATGATAGTTCAAGATAAAATTGGCTAAATTTGTAGTATGAGTCTCAATGTGTTACAATTCGAATAATTCGAAATAAAAAATGCCATTAAATCAATTTTTTAACTACTCTCTACGACTCAAAGTGATAGTCTATTTTGATTTTTTACACGGTTTAAGAAAATAATTAATTGTTATGTCATATTAATATTTTTTTTGTTCATGCTTTTCGAAAATATCTTTTTGTTAAAATTATTAGTTATCAAATTTAGTCCTACATTACATGGAATCAATATTAATTTAAAGAGAAAATATATCCAAAATTAAGGTGGTAAATCAAAAAATAAAAATAAAGTTAATTAATGATCAAGTTTAAAATAATTATTAAAAAATAAAATATCAATTAAAATATTTTACTCTCACAATTTTGGCGTGCAATAATTTCTCTACAAAAACAAATATTTTTCATGTAACAAATAATTTTATTTTTGAAATTTTTATGTTAAAGGTATTTGTATGTATGAGGAGATAAAATAAAGAATATTAATTTTTTGTTAGTAAATACAAAATGAAAGAAATAATCGATTTTCTCTATCAATTAAGGGTATTTTAAGAATATACATTATTTAAAATTTTGACAAGACAAGTATTTTGAGATAGACATAAATAAAGATAAAAATAATCTTTTTGAGATAGAGAAAATAATACATTTGATTTTGAAAATGATAACAACTTCAGGAGCGTTATAGACACTAAAGTAGTCATTCTATATATAAAATGACAAATTTTTTTACTATTTGAACATTATCTTTGAACAAAAACTAATATCGGTAAATGAAATCAAACTATAGAGTGTTGAGTATTAGAACATATAAAATTTTAGGATGTAAAGTATAATATTTTTAAAAAATAAAGTGCAAAATATTTCTACCAGTATGATTATCGTAATTTACCTTTTAAAGTTTAAACTACAAAGTTAATTTCTTTAGGGAAACACAGGGCACAAAATGAAGGGAGAGGATGGATCATACACTTGAATAAGACTTAACGTAATATATATATCTTATATTACACTCAATTTTTTTCCCCTTGAACACTGTAGTACACAGACATCTTACTAGCACACTTCAAGCCCCTCTTAACACGATGACCTATAATAATTACGACTAAAATAACCCACAAAGACGCAAAATTAGCATCCAAATCAGAAAGCTCATCAGTGGGGTCTGCGGTCTGCCTGGCATAAGCCTTTCAACCATAGCCGAAAATACAGCTGCAAGCACTCGTTGTATATATAATAACCCTAAACATCGCATGCATCCATATGCATTTGCTTACATAGGTGGCACTATTTACGGGACAAAGTTTTTCTCTTGCAAGGACAAAAATGGTTTCACTTCCTACGACCAGCTTTTCTAAGTGACAGTCACAGCTGGAGCAGCAGAGAAGTGCAAGCAGGATTCAGGTGCTTGTCTTGATGATGGCAAAGAAGAAATCTTGGTTGAAGATTCATCAACAGACCGCCTTTCAGAAGTACTTGACCATTTCATTTGCATGAAGCTTCTTTTTCTCCATGGACCCATGTGAAGTTTCTTATCTTTCATTGATCTCTTGGCTGCATCACAAAGAATGCCAACAATGACATTGAGGTAATCAGCTTTCCCTATGTAGTATTCTGGCAATTGTGCCACAAGGTTGCGGTACTCATCACATGCTTTAGCAATCTCAAACTGGTCTATGAATTCCAACTCAATCAGATATGGGATTGGCTTCTTGCGTCCGCTTGTGCTTGCAATCATCTCTACATACTCATGTTTTCCTGGAAAGGGCGTCAAATTCTAAATAAGGACAATCATACCACAAAAATTATCCTCCATTCTGTAGTACAGGATTTGCTGTGCCTTAGTGAGTTCTCACATTCAAAACTCCCAAGTCAATTTCAAATTTAATAAATTCATTTAATTAACAAGAATAGATAAAATTAACAGAGAAGTATATAATTATTTACCTCCAGGATACTTTTTGGTGTCTTTCCACTTGGATGTGCAACGAGTTGCATGAAATCCCTTTTGGGTGAGCAAATCGACAACGCTTTGTCTCAAACAGCTAGCGCACCCATCCGTGGGCTTCAGGCAATTGCAAAAATCACTCGCTTTTGCTACCCCTATAATTCTGCTAACCTCTTGCCTTAATTTTGAACCTGTTAATTTATAGCGCTCCAAAACTTCCTGCAAATATTATAGATACAGACAGAAAAAGCATAAATTTCTTTTTTGATCTAATAGCTAAATTAGCTATTCTTTAAAAGCATTCTAATTTATCTATGGAAGCCAGAAGGTTGACGTACGTACACTTTTCTGTGCTTTTACATAGTTGGTATTATATTTCTACTAATAATAATTGGTATTATATATACCTTTATTTGATCATGATGTTAAATACTTAAATTTAAAATAAAAAAAATTTTAAAAGCTTAAACATAAATTTTTATTTATATATTTTGTTAAATTTCTTTATTACAAGCTTTAAGTGTTACTTCATTAATCATATAAAACGTTTCATACTGTATAATAAAATAATTATTTGTTACATTATTAAATTTTCATTATTAAATTTTAAAAGCTTAAACATAAATTTTTATTTATCTATTTTGTTAAATTTCTTTATTACAAGCTTTAAGTGTTACTTCATTATTCATATAAAACGTTTCATACTGTATAATAATATAATTATTTGTTACATTATTAAATTTTCAATATATGATACTTAGAATTATTATATATAGATGCACGGAAATATATACCTCACTGATATTATAATTCATCAAATGCTAATTTGTGAATTTTCTCCCAGAATTAAAGTATTTAATAGATATTGGATTTAATAATATTCATTTTCTTTGTTATGGTTGACAAAGTAAATTAAAAAAAAAAATATTAATTTTCAAATAACAATTTAAAAATTATATTCTAGTAGATATACGGTATTTTGATCATAGTAATTTACTTTTTTTTAATACGGGTTCTAATTATTGTAATTATCATGACGTTATTGTAGCCAGAGCAATAAAAATTGATTAGAAAATAATGCTTAAAATTAACAATTTTGGAAAACCTTTTAAAATTAATTTACTCCTTCCTACCTGAGTTTTAAACTTATTATTATTATTTGTTAGTGAATAAATTGAGAAACAATCATAAGTATCTGACTTAGCGATAGTGAACAACTTCAAAAGATCATGGATTTAAATCCGGAAATCAAAATATTTCATCACCTTTATAACAATGATCACTTAAGTTTGTCGTGATAATAGAATATTTCTGTCCACTAACAACCATTTTTCTTTTACAAGGACTAATAAAATTATTTGTTTTGGGTTTTTGATCTTATATTATAAGATGAATCTCTGAAGATAGGAAAAACCTCCTTCTAAATTATACATATGAGTTTCGTCGAATAATCTTTTTACAGAATTCTATATGTATGTATAAAATTGAATATGGGATTATGTGATCAATAATTCAGTTTAATTCTATATCTACACCAATCAAAATTCAAATAATAAGGGAATTCATTTCATAGATATTTTTGGAGACGGAAATTGATTAAAAAAAAAAAAACCAATACTAATATTAGTTTGATTAGTTTTGAAAGAAAATAGAACTCATGCATATTTGTTTTTCGGTTGTTTCAATTCTAATTATAATTCATTTTCTAACTCGATTAGTAATGAATTTGTGGGACTATATGATTCATAAATAAATAAAAAGGCATGTTAACTATTTGTTTTCTGCCTAATAGGATTACAAATTAATTACTAGTTGGGTTTATTCAAGACATTTACCAATAAGTGATTTATATGACTCATTAATATTTCATAGATTTTTTCTATTATTCATATGGTTTTTGTTCACTGACAACTAACCATTAATACTAATTTTTTTATTACTCAACTACTGATTGTGGACAATAAGATCCTATCCTTAACAAGTATAAAAAAATCCAGAGATAAATGATTGGCATAAAATTCAATAAAGAAAATTTAATTATTAGATAGAAAAATTAGCCTGACAGTACTCTTAAAAGAAAACAAAATTCAAAAGTTTGATATATTTTTTTTCTTCTTTCTCCAAGATATTACGAGAAGAGTGGACACCACTTTCCCTGCCTGCCCCTGCATTTGGTAGATAGTGCATACCTAACCAAACGACTGCCCCTACATTCATTGCTAACCATTGGAGGATTGCAACCGTACATGTGGCACCAATACAACCAGTTATTGAGCATCAATAGCAGCCATGGAATATTTTAACACACTTGTATTTTAATGTTTTCTATTTTCTGCCCCCAAAAAGATCATCGTCTCTGGACCAAAACACAAGACCCAATTTGTCAAAATTACTATCTTTGTAGTCGTTTGTAAAAAGTCCCCTTATTCTGCTTGTCCATGCACGATGAATGGTTTCAATATCAGAAAAACTAAAATCATATGTACAGGAAGGAAAAAAAGAAAGAAACGAACTAATGTATTGGTCACACTAATTCGCAAATCTTTCATGGGTTGAAGAATGCAATTCAAATAGTATCTTAAAAGAAAGGGATATTAATTCCTCTTACGCTCTAATCTCTATGACTTGAAGAAAGATTATATGAAGAAACAAAATCAAGGTATTGTATGGTTTCAATTTTGTCTCAAATCCATATTCTCAAGGTAACACACAAAATGGAAAAGAAAAAAAAAATCAGATTAATTGTCAAAATTTAGAGCCCTTTTTCAAGTTGCAAATACTAGTAACATTCATTTACTGATAGCTAGAAATAGAACTTAAATAACATTGTGCTTGCATGGTATATCATTTCTAAAGAAGCTAAAGAGGAAGCAATATCGTCAACCCTTCAATTATACTCATTGCAATTTTTGTCGTAAATTGTTGTAATTAAAATTAAATACCTGAAGCAACGCCTCTTGTGATTCCCAAAAGAAGGCCCTTTCCACGGGGTCATGCAAGTTGTTATCAGACTCGTAGTCATCTTCTTCCTTCAAAGAGCAATCAGACTGATCATCAACAAAATCTTCATGAAAGAACACAGAAACCTTCTCTTCAAGGCTGTCCATGCGTTTATGACCAGAGCCAATAGTCCCCTTCTCCTCCATATGATTGTTGCCCGTCTCCTGGCTAAGTCAGAGAATATTCAAATAGGAGATCGAGAAGAAGAGAAGGGAAAGAAGAAGAACACTTGCAAGAATAAATGGCCTTGACGAGAAGAGTATTTATAGGGCTTTTCAACGTCAGATGATGTTAATTAGCATTGTGTAATTTAATTTGGTAAGGATTTTCAGGGATAAAAGTAGTTTTGATAATAATAGAAAGAAAACAGCGAAAATATGTCTTTGTCATTTTACTTCATTATGAATTTTTTTTTTAATTCTCCATAACTGTAGAAGGCTATTTTTGAGCTAATTTACGTATCAATTAAGATTAAACCTCCTTTTTAAACTATTTTAAAAATATATACATCACATCAGCATATGTATTCTACAAGATCTAACTTATCCTAATATTTGAACCTAAAAATCCAAGAATGAGAGAATACCTCCTTGACCACCAAGCCAACATCTTCAAGTTAGTTGATTAATTATCGAGAAATTTAGCTAAATAGTAAAATACCTCCTGGATTTTTGTGGAAAAAAAAGTACTTCTAAAATAAAAAATAAAAATAAAAATAAAACCTTTGATGTTGCCTTCTAAACAATATGATTTTTTGAATTTACTCTTTCCCTTAGGTTTCATTGAAAAATTGATGGAAAAATCTATAAAAAAATACTTTTAAACTAAAAAAAGAAAAAGAAAATTGATTTTGCCTCTTAAACAATATGATTTTTTTCCATTAGGTTTTTATTGAAAAATTGATGAAAAAATCCATAAAAAATTCCGATTTTCTATCCTTTTCTCTACAAACATAGGAAAACACGTTTATTAACGGAGGAAAATGAAAAATTAGAAGGAGTTTTAAAGACTTTCTCATCGATTTCTTAATGAAATCCTAAAAAAGAAAAAAGAAAAAAAAAGGATAAATTCGAAAAATCTCAACAAAGTCGGAATTTTTTTTAGTTCAGATCATATTTGTTTTTCACTCGAGTCCATAGTAATACTTTACAATTTAGCTTTTAAATTTTTTGTGGTGCTAGCTTGATTAGTGGGTTTGAATAAATAGATAAAAAGTATTTTATGTATTGGATTGAGATATTTATTCCTACGCATTAGGTTTCTGAATAAAAATAAATACTACTAAAAAATATTACATAGAATTCATTAATTAATTGCTGGTGGTTACTGGTTTTATAAGTATTTTCGCTGTTGGTACGTTGTAAGTAACCGATTTTAATAGCCAATGGTAAATCCATGGTTTAAGTTGCTCAAATAAAATAAAATAAAGAAAGAAAAGATAAAACTGCAATAATATCAATAAAATTATAAAAGTAATTAACATTTATTATCCATCAAGCCTTAAACGATAAAATTCAATTAAAAAGAAAATAAAAAAAATTATTCCTTCTCTTTTGCCAAAAATATTTGATTTCAAAATCAATTTGATCGGTCAAATTAAATGATTACTTACATCTTATCCCAAATGTTTTCTTTAATTAAGAAGTATTGACAAGAGGTAAAGAAGAAAGATTTTTTTTATACTGCATTGTAAAAGTGCATATATATATAAGCTTTTGTTTGTCAATATTAAATCCCTTTCAATTAAATTTTAAACAAGTTATTCCTATTCGAATTAGTGCATAAAAAAATATTTTCTTATAACCATTCTAAGATTTAAATTTTATATAATAATATACATAGAGAGAGCAAATTCACTTATCAATCAAGTTATTCAATTTATAAGAATCAAATAAATAAAAAATAAATGTATTTATAATATAATATTAAGCTGACGTGAAAAATTCATTCTTAAAATTATTAAAAAGAAAAATTTGTTTCATTTGAAAAAAAAAAAAAAAAACAAACATCTATCAACTTATAAATAAATCAATCGCGTTTCTGCGTGCTCGTCGCTCTACTCCTATTTCTGGTGACAAGACAAAGGAAAGAATTTAATTGTCACATGTTAGCTATTTTATCCTTTAATTATTTAGGTTACATTTTCTTGTTATTTTTTTCTTTTTCAATTTGTAATCATTATAGGGTATAAAAATAGATCACTCGACCGACTTATTTAATATTGACGGGGATTAGTGCTACTATCATCTATTTGTCAAGGGATCTATGATGCCAACGGATAAGATAGAGATGAACGATGCTATGGACAGGCATGATTTGTGGGGCACGTGCGGATCACCTACGGGACTGGGAAAATCAGATTTTCCATTACAAAGTAAGTTAGCCTATTTATTTTCTTTTGGAAACGGGGAAAGTGGGAGGAAAGAAATAAAGGGAAAGAAAACATGAACTTTAGTCTCTGTTTGTTCAATGAAAAATAACTTTATAGGAAAATTAATTTCTGAGAAAGTTATTTTTAAAAAAATTATTTTCTAAAAAAATATTTCTGCTATTTGACAATTATATAGAAAAATTATTGAAAAATATATTCCAACATTTGTTTGATATAAAAAATTAAAATACAAAAATAAATTATTACCTCAACAAATTTTGAGAAAACTTCAAAAAAACATATTCATAATTTCACAATATAAGATACATTTAGAAAAATTTAATAAATTTTCATAAATACCGATTTTAAAATTTTAATTCAAAAAAATAAAATTTACTTTTTTAACCATCAAACCAATTCATCAAAATTACTTGGGATAAAATCAAATCAATATTCATATTTTGTAAATAAAAAAAAATTCTCGATAATACTAGCATTGTTATTTTAGTAACTCAATTAAGAATTTTTTTTTTTTAAGAAATTGAACTGATTATTTAGTCAAAAAAATTATTTTATAAATTATTAGCTATTATTTATAGATAATTATTCATTTGGTTTTAAAAGATTAATATTGGAATAATTTGTAACTAATTATTCACTATAATTACCAACAAAATTTTACAATTGATTAAAATTATAAATTATTGATTTAGTTGCATGTGTTGGAAAAATAATATATTTATTAATGAATTCATTGATATCAAATTTTTTTATAAAAAATTATAGTCTTGTAATAATCACTTTCAATCATTTAAGTATAGTGTAAGTGATGTTTGAGATAATAGTAAAAAAATAAAGATAAATTATTGAAATATTTATTATAAAAATAATTTTAAGGTGTAAAAATGGTTTTTAAAAATATTTAATTTATCTATAAATCAAAAAATTAAATATTAGTAGAAATATAGAAAAAAATTAAATAATAACCGATAATTGATAAGGAATAATTAAAATTAATTTGATATATTTTAAATAAAAAGAAAATAGAGCAAAAAAATTGTTAAAATATATCGAGAGAGAGGTAAGTAATGCAAGAGCGAGACGACTCGTGAGAAGGAAAATGTTTTCTTCTTTTTAAACTCGAAAAAACATTTTTTCAAAAATACTCTATCATTTTCTATTGATCGAAAATCATTTTACGTTAACTTTTTTCCTAAATGCAAAACAAACACCGAAAAATAAGAAAATTAAATTCCTAGTTTTCCTAAAACTTGTTTTCCCCAAACAAACATAGCCTTAAGGTAACCTATTTTTGTTTGAAAAGAAGACAAAACCGACGAGAGTGGAACATGAAGAAACAAAATTCTTCAAGGACCCACGCTTATCACTCTCTATGATTTGCACAAAAAGTGATGGACAATTTTATAAAATTATGATCTCATGAAATTAATTTTTCTTTTTAAACTCATACATCCAAGGTTTCTCATAAAATTAGTTTCTTAAGATTTAAATCTGTAACTTTTTATCGTAAAAAATCATTACCATTGAGACTACAAGCTTTTTAATATAAAATTAACTTAATAGTTTGGAATCGAGGGCATAGCTTGATGTACTCTTCCAATCATCAATATCCCTACCCCAATTAGATTTAGCATAAGCTTGGATGGTAAGAGAGATCAATCATTGTAGTTGTAAACCATAATGCCTAATGCCTTAGAGATATCGTAGAATATGCTTGACAAAAGAATAATGATCGGTAGTACGTAGGAGCATGCATAAATTGTACAACCTTATTAACCGAGTAGGCATTATTAGGATGAGTGATACTCAATTATTGAAGGTCCCCAATAATAATTATATATAAAGAAGCATCGACGAAAGGATTCCCTACCTTTAATAAAGAGTTTCATTGTAGTGCAAGTTGGTGTGCTAATTAACCTAAGCATCAACAAAGGATTCCCCACCATTGAGTAGGCATACTTTTCTTGAGTGAGCATAACACTAGTGAGCTTTAATCCCCAAGAAACAATGTAATCAACCTAAGAGGTGCACCACAAATTCATTTTAAAGAGTAACAATGGTGGAAAAAATAATGTTCAAATTGGTACTTGTAATAATAAGGTCGTCAACATAAATAACACAAAAAATTAAGTCTCGTTTTGAATCTCTTAAAGAACAAAAAGACATTAGTTTGAGAGTTGTCAAATCCTATGAAAAGCAATTTGTCGAGTAAGGTGACAAGTACCATTGACAAGGTGCTTGTTTTAAGCCATAATGTGATTTTTTTTATCTTACAAACATGCATAGAGTGGGTGGAATATGCAAAACCATATGGATGAAACATGTAAATAGTTTCTTTGAGAGGACCATGGAGGAAAAAATTAGATATATTAAGTTGTTCAACTTTCTAATTCTGGTTCATGACAAGAAAAAGAATAAGATAGATCACTATAGGCTTGATAATAGGATTATAAGTTTCATGATAATCAATCTCCGATCGTTGATGAAAACCTTTAGCCATAAGAAGGGCTTTACAATGATCAATCTACCCATTAGATATGGTTTTGATGCTGTAAATTCACTTATTTCTAATCATATTAGAGTAAGGCTAATGAGGAACTAGTTCCTAAGTTTTATTTTTAAGAAGATCATTGATCTTTTCATCCATAGCTTGACGCCATTTAGGATCCTTGGCTATTTGGGTATTGATAGCAAGTTTTGTTAGAGGGACAGAATGAGAGAAAGTCTTAAGCTTTAACAAATTAGTTTTAGCCCTTATGATCTTAGGATGAGTAGGTTTAATGGTTTTTATAGATTTAGTGGATGTAGAAGGTGTAATTTGAATAGAAAAAATGATAATTTGTATGTGTTGCTCGAGTGAATAAGATAGGTGCTAAGGTCGACAACAATTTTTATGGGTTGTGAGGTATCATGAGATGGTATAGGATGGGATGATGATAAGTTAGAGGTGAAATTAAGAGAGTCCGTCGATGTGAAAGACTTAAGATCAAATGGAGGGGAGATTGTAGAATTGGATTATTGTGATTTGGTAGGTGGGGATTGTTGATGTGGTTGGGTTTGAGGGTGACATGTAATTTAGTGAAGAAGAAGATATATTTGGGTTTGGCAAGTTATAGTTTGGCAAGGTTATAAGTAGTGGAGAGAGAAATGAGGTGATAGTGGTTGATGGGTAGGGAGAAAGATAACAAGATAGACATAAGGACTTGTGTTGTGGTTTGAGGTGTAGGACTAGTTGGTGTGTTGGTTTGGAGGTTCGAAATGTGGTTTGATTTGTGCCATTAGTTTGAGTTGATGTGTGGGAAAGTGACGTGAGTTCGTAGACGGCATAAGAGGGAATACATGTTCATCAAATAAAAAGTATTATGAGATATAGAGTTTTTGAGAAGACAAATCTTAGCACTTATAGCTCTTGGAGACTTTGTTATAGCCTAGAAAAATGCATAGAGAAAAACAAAGAGAGAGCTTATTAGGAGTATAGGGATAGATCAAAGGATAACAAAGGCATCCAAATGCTTTTACTCATCATAAGTAGGCGATTTCCCAAAGAAAATAAAATGGAGGTCTTTATTATGAAGTTTGGACATAGGAGACGATTAATGATGTAAATAGCGAGTTTCAAAAGTATAAGTCTAGAATTTTAAAGGAAAAAAAGAGATTGAGGAAGGCTAAATTAGTTTCAATGATATGCTCGTGTTTGTGTTCAACACTCCATTTTGTTTGGGTGTTTTTTCGGCAAGCAAGATGTTAGGATATGCCATTTTTATTAAGGTATTTAGTTAGGTCCTGCAACTCACTCGTCCAGTTTGATTGGAATTGTTTCAACAACTTAAATTTAATAAAATAACTAAGAACTTCGATTTGTAATGAGAAAAGAACAACCAAGAATACTTGTTATAATGATTAAAAAAAACATAACATAATAAGAAAAACCATTAATTGACTTAATCGGTGCCAGTCCCCATAAATTAAAACAAATTAAATGTAAAGGACTAGAGGCCTCATAACTGGATTCAAAAAACGTCAACTTGTGAACTTTGGGCACACTACAAGCAAGACGCAAAGTAGACTTGTGTGATGAACAAAAAAGACCATTCTTTTTTATTGTTTGTTGCATGGTGCAAAAATTAACATGACCAAGTTAAGCATGCCAAGTATCCAATGTCACATTATAAGCTTGAATAAAGAGGGTTTGAGTGATAAGAGCAACCAAAGACAAGTGTATAAAAAACATTATCAAATTGACTAGTGTGAAGAACATCCTTCAAGAATAAATCCTTAATAAGAAAACAAGTAGGAAAAAATTCAATAGAAACATGGTTATTCTTTGTAAAATGATCGACAAATAAAAATTAGTAAATAAAGATAGCACATGTAAAATATTATAAAGATCAAAGGAATGATTATAAAGAGAAAAGGACGAGGAACATATGTGAGAGATTGAAAGATTTTTACCCTTGCTCAATTGAACTTCATCGGGACTAGAAAATTCATTATAAATAGCAAGATTTCCCAATTACGTTGTCATATGATATGTTGCACCTATGTCAACAACCCACTTGTTATTTGGTTTGGAATAGGTATATGCAAGGTTAGAGGATGGAGTGAGAAGTAGGGGTGGTTGGCATGGCTAGTTTTGATTATTGGTAGCTGGATAGCTTGGCTTGGGAGAGGGAAGTTGATTGAAAAAAATGCCGATGATTAGAATATTTGAAGCATACCACTAATCAATTAGTGGAAGAAAAGCCGAGTATAGTATCTATTAGAGGAGAGAGACTAGTGTGTGTGATAGGAGCTTGAATGACCACCCCTTCTACCATATCCATGTCTATAGGGAGGGATTGAATTATAGTTAAAAAAAAATTGATTGAAATAAGAGATTCAAGAGAAAAGGTTTTGATATTCAATTGTATCTCTTCACTAAGAGCCAATCCATCTAAGTCATCATATAAAATTGGCTCATGTCGGGATTGAATTAAGCAAACAAAAGGCCTATAGGTTGATCCAAATCATAGCAAAATTGCATGCATAAGATCATCTTTAGTAACTATTGTACCAAGGGATGCAAACTTATCAAATAATCATTTAGCTCTTTCAAAGTATTATAGAACTGATTCTTCACTCTTTTGATCTATTCTATAAAGATTTGTTTTCAATGTCTAAATGTGAGTGTGAGATCCTAAACCATAGACTATGGTGACTTGGTTCTAGGTTTATCTTGCTTGTTTTGGCATTAACAATTAAATGAAGCACACTTTCACGCAAGGAAGTAATGATCTAAGATAGCACCAATTGATCGTTTCATTCCCATGTTTGATACGATGGATTTGGTTTATTATCACTAAGAACTAAGAAAGAAGGGTTTTGAGATCCATCAATGTGATGAATCAAGATTTGATAGCATAAAAAAAGGTTGAATTTGGTTTTCCAGAGAAGATGATTGTTAAGTGTTAATTTGAGGATGAAGTTTTAATTAAGAGAAATAAGAAATAGACATGATTAAAAACAAAGAAGAAGGCAAGGTAATGGCACTCTTAGTGTTTGAAGATATAATAAGAGGTCATGTTTGCTTAATTTATGGCTCGATACCATGAAAGTTATGGTATTTCTTTTATGCATTACATTAAAGATTACAACAAAATATATTGGTAATGTTTAGATCTGTACAACTATATAATTACACAAATTCGGTAAAGAGATTATTTTTAAGTAATTTTTTTGTCTTAAAAAATTATTTTTATGTAGATTTATAAATATCTAATTATTGCCATATAATTTTTTTGTTTCTATCCGAGAATAAGAATAGATCGTTACGTATTATTTTTATTTTTTAATTTTTATGTGTCCGACAATGGGGCTCGATGAGGTGTCACGTGAACAAGTTAATAGACAAATCAACCTATAGTTAACATAACCATTCAAATAGTTAATATTAAATTCCATACTTTTGGATAGAAAAAATTGGCAAGTTTGTACACCGAATATGTAATAAGCTCCTTTCTTTGCCATGTGTTTGTTTGTAGGGTTCATAATTTGGTGTCACATGTGTAATTAATAACCATATCCGTATAAAGTTAAAGGAAGTTAACAAACCCACTCAAATAGGAAAAAATTACAACTTGGTATACTTAAATAGTAAAAATTAAAATTGATATACTAAAAAACAAAAAGAATGACAACTTTTTAGATAAAAAATCTTCCCTAAGCACACTTGGCAAAACTTTCCCTCCTCTTGCCATTTTGCCTCACTACCATCGATTAACAACCACTCCTACCTCGATCTCAACCCTAACTCGCCACCCATATCATCACCCACTCGCCCCCTAAACTCCCTTAGCCATCAAACACTAGCTAAATCACCACTATCACTCATAGTCCTCCATAAGAAAAAATAAACCGCACCTTACTAAAGAGCTAGTCTAGTCTCCATGACCAGCTATACCGAAGCACTAGTCTAGCCTCCATAACCAACCATACTCTCCTCATTGAATTACTAGTCTAACCATAATAACCACTTGAATCTCCACTAGTTATCATCCACCGAGTAGCCATTATTCACTACTCAACCAGGTAACCATCTTCTTCTTTACTAAGCAACTATAACTTCGGAAAATAAAAACCCTCATCGTACTAGTTATCTTTACCAATAGACCTACCATCAATTCCATTAACGACCACAACTCTTTTCTAGCTCAACACCATCTAACCTCAACTTTCAAACCCGTAGACCTTCACCATAAAACCACCCTAACCCAAAACTCGCTACTTAAACCACTCATGGCCACATAACCCACCATCCTCTATAGTCGACGCAGATCCTTAACCAAAAATCAGCCAACTCCTTCATCAATCTCTACCACTACAACCCTCTTCCATATCGGACATCTCTATATCCATCTCATAGTTGTTCTCCTTTACCAAATAACCTTCATAAAGCCTAAAAAAACTCATCGATTTGCTAGCCATCTTCACTCGACCCACTACAAAATTTATTTTGTCTCAATTTCAACTTGTAAAACCA